AAAGGGTTCCCTTTTCGTCAATTTAGGGCCCCCTGCAGTCTTCAGTTACTGAGTATATTGATAGAATCAAAGGCAGTTGCCTAAAGAATAGGCTTGATCAGGTCAGGTTGTTCATTATCTAGTGGCTAGTCTTCAGTTGCTGAGCTAATTGCAGAATTGATTGATCCTCAGAATTGGTTATGAACTTGTTACAAGTTGGGGTACAGTGGCTAGTGGGACTAGTTGCTAGCTCATCTCAGGCGCCTTAGGGTGAAGAGGTCCCATCTTTGCTGTTCGCCCAGAAAGTTTCTTTTGAACTTTGAGAAGTCACCTGATGATTTATCCATTGGAAGGGATGCTGGACCCGTTGTCCAGCAGGTGCAGCTCCCCACCAATAGAAAGGAGCCATCGGAACCTCGCCAGCTTCTACCCTCTGGGGCTCTTACCACCCAAGGTGTAGAAGACCTGGCGCTGAACGATGATTGAATTGGAAAAAAAAAAGTCTTTGTACTTTGATAATGGATTCTCTGCCTTTACCCAGAAAAAAAAAGGAAAAAAAAAGAAAAAAAAGGAAAAAAAAGGAAAAAAAAGAAAAAAAAAGGAAAAAAAAGAAAAAAAAAAGAAAACAAAACGGTCCAGGATGCCAGTTAATGTTTTTTTTTGCCGTTTTGAACTCATCAGACGACGTCAATTTCGCCCCGCCATGTTTTTCTTGCCTATTCTGACCAAAAAAGATGACCCACGAGCAAAATTTCCCCTTTTTCTTATTTTTATTTTTTATTTTTAGTTTTTGACCCCTTCTTCTTCTTCTTCTTCTTCTTCTTCTTCTCTCAGCATGTTACTACGCGCTTACACAACTTCACAAATCTTGGCGGGAGATTTCCTGTGCAACAATTCACGACTGCAGTGGAGGGTGCCGCGGTCGACGGTGCCGAATATGGGAGGGCACCACTGGAGGGTGCCGCGGTCGAGGACTCCGACACGTGCTCGCCGCCCGCCCCTTTGGAAGACGACTCCGACCCTGGGACTCGTCGGAGGGAGTCGGTGGAGGGCGGGGCAGCGGAGGACTCCGACACCTGCCCGCCGAGACACATGCGCGTGATGTTGTTGCCCACTTCCTCCTCGACGATGACGGTGTTCTCGAGCGGAAAGAGCGTCACGGTGGGGTCTGTGGCTCTGGCTTCCTGGACTGTCACGCTGTCCACTCCGTCGTCGCTTGTCAGCCTGATCGAGCCATCCGCGTCCTCGGTGACGACGATGCCCCTGCCCCCGATCGTCCACAGACACCCGTCCTTGGTCAGATTGAGCAGCTGTTTCGTAGTGTTCACCTGCGGGAAACTGGCATTGATGGGGACGACAACCTGAAGGTCCTCCAAGAAACTCGCGAGGGTCGCCTGACCAGGCTCCTTTTGCAGACACGGCATGACGTCCTCGGGGAGCCCATTGATCAAGGCTGTGTTCGTGGGAGCAAAAAGGATCAACTGCTCGCCGTCGAGCACAGTGCGACCCTCCACGTTCCAAATTTCCGTGGTGTTCACCAGCGCCTCGTAGAACATGGAAAACTGCGTCTCTTTCTTAAGAATCTCGAACACTTTCGCGTCCCTGCCTGTCTTCGCCGTCCGCACGCTACGGGCTGCGGCGTTACCAGGGGCCGCAGCGATATTTGGACCAGCGCTAGGGGCAGCAGGGATAGGGACATCCGCCGCCATGGCCGCGCGAGGGCTGGCGCTCATCAAGAAAGCCAAGGCTACGATGACGGCGACGAGCTTCATACCCGTCATCTCCTTCTCTCTCTCTCTCTCTCTCTCTCTCTCTCTCTCTCTCTCTCTCTCTCTCTCTCTCCCCCCCCACATTGTCTCGGAAGATTTTTCCCATAGCACAGCCTGCATAAGGACTCAAAGGAGCAAGAAATTGAAGAGGAGCAGGATCTCTCTCTCTCTCTCTCTCTCTCTCTCTCACACACACACACACACACACACACACACACACACACACACCATTGCCACAGACATGACAACACACCGTGCCACACACACACACATTATCATCATCATCATGAGTTGGTGAATGTATAGTAAAGCATTCTCTCGGTCTCGCTTTTTCGCAGAGTTGTGTGTACCGGACATGACAACACACACAAGTATTCTTAATCATCATCATGATCATCATCATGACACACACACAGGTATTATTAATCATCAACAGAATAAAACAATTCTTGATCATCACTGGTGGAACTCTCTCTCTCTCTCTCTCTCTCTCTCTCTCTCTCTCTCTCTCTCTCTCTCTCTCTCTCTCTCTCTC